GTCGTCCGATTTGTATTTGGGCTTTGGGTGCGGTTCAAGACTCATCTGCTCAGGCGTCTTACTTTCTGGGAGAATTGATGAGTTCAGTCAAACTATTTATCCAAAAACTATATATTTTTGTTCCTGCAAATTCTCAGATTAATAGCAAAAATGCGTGAATAAACAGACAAAATTAACACATAAAACTATTACATGGAATACGAAAAAAGATCTGTTTTGCTTTAAAAAATATACTAACCATTGTTTCTGTTGAGTATTTTTATTTAGTTAGGAAATCATAAAATAATCTGAAAGACATAATATTCTACTACAGAAAAGAATTCTAATTATTTTCTTGATAAAAGTGCACTTATCTATTTGAAATGGACTAAGAGCCAAGACTTTTTTTTAAAAAGTACTCAAACGTAAAGACAAAGGAGTATAATTTCCTTTCAAAGCAAGCTGGTAACTTGAGTTTGTGCAGTTTACAAAACATTTTCACATGCATATGCTTTTCTAGTAAGGCCTCTGACCGTCTGCACTTGCACTTGAGGAAACTCTGCATATTGCAAGGAACAAAGAATTGCATTCCTACAACCCCAGGAGAGAGAAGGAAGGGTGGGGCGATACCCTCTGGAGGCAGCTGAGGCTGAGCACGTCCGCGGTGCGTCCAACTGCACTTCTGCAGTGGAGTTATGGGGGCCTGTCCACCACGGGAGCCTGCCTTTTTTCAGAGACCCTGGTGAGCATGTGGAATGCTAACTAGCATCAGAACCTTTGGGAAACTTCTCTCTCGGTATAGAAAAAGCTATTCAGTCACTACATGACCCTCAAGACATTTCTAGCCCAATTCACGCATCACAACGATCTGTAAATGAGTCACAACCACTTCAAAAGTTAAAGTGCCTACATGTGTCACCGATTTGTCACTGGGTCTCTTGTGATAGGGTGTAAAGTAGAACTAAAATGTCATGAGCTGTAACAGCATCACTGAGATAAAAACAGAACCTCACAAGCAAACTCCTTTGATTTGGATGCTTTCAAAATATTCATGCAACTGAAACTTGCCTGTGCGTTTGCTGCCTCGAGGTTAAAGGGCTGAGAGAAGGCAGAAAATGGGCGCGGTCAGCTTTGCTGGCTTAAACATGCAGACCAAGTGGAATCCATTTGGTAATAGACCATTTTACCTCCAAAATGGATTTCAGTTGGCTTAATAAGAAGATACACACAATATATATAATATATACATATAGATATAATATAACATATAACATAGTAAAAATAGAAGTTGAGAAGATTTGTGCCTGCACACACCTTCCGGTCTCTCCTCTCCCTCAGGGTCTTGCTGAGGCAACGTAAATACTTAGAGCTCAAATAGAGAGAGTGTGTTTCATTTTAATTTGGTGGGAGGGAGGATTTTTGGCAACCAAAGCCCAAAGAAGACCTCCATAAAAGCGGGGGGCTTTGGGTTCCAGAGAAGTTTACGCAGGTAGAAAGAGTATTTGGTGACCCAGTGTTGGGGGTGCAAGTGGGGTGGTTTATCAAATGGCCAAGGCCTCACTGCTGGGAAGGAGACCGAGCCCCTAGAATCTCGGTCAAATCCGTCCTTCCGTCAACTGCCCCAGAGGAGCCAGCCCGCCTAGCAGAGTGGAACCCCCCAGCACAGCAGAAGAAATGCTTCTGCCCGCTCACATACACAGGCTCAGGAGAAGCAGTGGACACAGCTGATGCTGGTGGCTTCTTCCGTGGCTTTCGATAGACTGTGGGCAGGCAATCTTCCAGACTTCCAGGCTTGAGGATGACTGTATTTTGAAATTTAGCTGCCTGGGAGTTGCCCCTGGGTCAGAACAATTAGCTGATTGTTCAGCCAGTGGTTGGTCAGAGGTTGCGGTGAGGGCCCTAACGCCAGGGAGGCTTACAGCACGTACTGATGCACTCATCTGCAGCTGGGGGATGTTTCCAGTCTGCCCCACATCCTGGTCTGAGGCTCGTGAGGGAGCGCAGCCTAGTCCGCTCATGCACAGCCTTCCCAACCCCCAGGGTGGACTGTGATCCCAGAAGGACCCTTCTTGGCTGTCTCCGTCTCTAGTTCTCTGCGAAACTCTGACTACTTGACCTCTTTGCTTGTTGCTGCTGGGATCCTGCAGCTGTGAGTGCCCTCTTCACCAAGACCGCCTTTGTCTCCACAAAGCCTTGAGGCATGGAATTCTCCTCTGTTCTGAATAAAGTCAGTCCCCTCAGACTGTGCTGCAGACCTCGGGCAGGAGCTCTGTGCCCCTGCACAGGAGCTGAAGCTAGAGGTGGGACAGTGGCCCACTGTCACAGAGTGAGACTCCTGCTCCACAAGCAGGAGCTGAGGTGGGTAGACCCTGGTGTTCCCGGCTTGCCCTTCCTGGGGTAGGAGTCAGCAGGCGTGAAAGCTTTGGGGCCCAATGTTCTTGGTCTGCCACACCTGGGGTGGAGCTTCTGCCCTACAAGTGGGGGCTGGGTTGAGGAAGGGAGCCCCTGTTTTCTCTACATCGTTAGTCTAGAACAGAACTTCAGCTGGAGGGCTGAGTGATGGATGCTAGCAGCCTGCTGACCCAGGTGAAATGACAGGCTCAGACTGGGAGCTTGGGAGAGGGTACCTGTCTGGTTTGGAACTCCTGGAGTGGTTTCCATGAGACACAGTTGAAAAGAATGGGTTGTGGCTCAAATGCCACAGACTCTTGCTGTTCTTGCCAAGATTTAGCAGATTTTCTTGAACGTATGATTCTCCACTTGCTGGATGCACTTAGAACATTTTCTAGAAATGTTAAATGACCGTTTTATATAATTTTCTCCAGTTAAATGGTTGTTTGTTGGGAAGAGGGTTCATTCCGGAAGCTGGTCTCCCAAGCTCAAGTATTTTGGTAAACATCAAAGAAGGGGATTATGAAAAACCTATATGACGTAGGTATTCTACATATATATTTAACTCATTTAATCCAATTATTGTGAACTAAGCTCCACCCACTTACAATGTGGGTACTGTTTCTCTTATTTCACAGGTAAGGACATGAATTCAACAGTTATGGTAAATCCTTGGAGCCACAGTGCCAGGAGTCTGGACACAGACCTGATACCAAAATCTACGCTCCATAACCAGGCCAGGCTGCCCAATGCTGGATTCAGTGGAGACAGTGAGGAATAGGAAATGAACAAATAAATACATGGACTGAGGCCTAAATCTGACTCTGGTTTCTACTTCTACCACTAAACTTTTTGTAATCTCTAACTATGATAATAATGTGAAAATAATATAGCAATTAACATCTATCGATCACTTACCAAGTACTAAGCATCTGGCAAAGACTATCTGACTTAATTCTCATCTACAAAGTAGGACTGTCATCCTGGGGTTATGGGATTGGCCCCAAATCACAGAGCTATCACACCTGAGAAGCAGGATCAGACTGGAAAGGCCATAGGGCCAGGGTTACACTCCCTTCCCACTTAGAATTATTAGACTGTGGCCCAGGTCACGTAAGACGGCTATAAAAACAGTACAGAGACTTACTTCTTTGAGGAATGTTTCATATGATCCATTATTCTTATTTTTACTTTTGAATTTCAGTTAATTATTTAATTATAAAAGATAGCTCTTTTACTTACAATTATGTCATTAGCCAGTATTTCTTCCATGCAACTAACTAAGATTTCTGTTTGTTATAATTTAAGGTCTTGATCTCAGTTTTTGCTTCTCACAGAAACTAGCCAATTCTGTTTACCAATTTGCCCAGCACAATACTTTATATTAAATCAACAACTACTAAATATGTGCTATCTTTTTACAGAATATATAGTATCTTGTCTAATAAAGTAATGACACAGAACTTCTTTAATCAAAATTTTCCCTCAAGAGTAATCAGATTTCGGGGCCGGCCCCGTGGCCAAGTGGTTGAGTTCGCGTGCTCCGCTGTAGGCGGCCCAGTGTTTCGTTAGTTCGAATCCTGGGCGCGGACATGGCCCTGCTCATCAGACCATGCTGAGGCAGCGTCCCACATGCCACAACTAGAAGAACCCACAACGAAGAATACACAACTATGTACCGGGGGGCTTTGGGGAGAAAAAGGAAAAAATAAAATCTTTAAAAAAAAAAAAAAAAGAATAATCAGATTTCTTTAGAAAGTGTGATGATTAATTTTATGTATCAGGTTGGCTAGGTGATGGAACCAGTTTTGAGTCAAACATCAGTCTAGATGTTGTTGTGAAGATATTTTTTAGATGTGATTAACATTTAAATCAGTAGATTTTGAAAAAAGCAGATTACCCTTCATAATGTGGATGGGCCTCATCCAATCAGTGGAAGGACTTAAGAAAGAAGACTGGTTCCCCGAGACTCAAGACTGTAACATCAACTCCTTGTAGAATTTCCGGCCCGCTGTGAACCAGTTCCTTAAAATCAATCTCTCTCTCTACACACACACACACACACACACACACACACACACACACACCCGCCATTGGTTCTATTTTCTGGAGAAGCCTGACTAGTACAGAGAGAAAGGAGGAGAGCTGGAAATTGAAGCAGAGAAGCAGGGTGATTTCTGAGACGCTTTTTAATGCCCACCAATGACTGCAAATCTCCGTTCTGGAAGGGAAGCTGTGTGCACGGGAAGCTCCCAGCTTCCTACCTCGACTCTGCTTCTGAATGTGGAGACTCAAGAGTTTCCTATAACCAAACCTTTCACCGTTTTTTCTTGAAACAGGTTTTTGCTATCTTCCTTTCTCTTATATTTCCACAGTCCTAAATCCTATTCAAAAGAGAAGGCAATAAGCTAATAATTCAGTACTCAACAAATTTATACATCACCCAGAGTCACGAAAATAAAATTCAGAAATTCAACGTGGAATTAAAGTGCACTATTTTGTTAGTTTCTTTTTCTTTTATGCTTGGAAATAAAAATTGAGTTAAGGGTTGGTTCCTTGAGATGAAACACACTAAGCTCTTTCTAAGCCTATTCTGAGAACAAATATATTAAAGGGAAGTAATTTCTCACCATTTATGAGTCTCTGTCAGTGAGTTCTCCTCTGCCTCTTGGTCAATTTTAGCTAAAAATGCAAGAAAAGAAAAAGAGATGAGACAAATGACAGTTATACTATCTCAAGCAAAATATGATCCAAATAACATAAGATATATTTTAAGTCACTATTCAATCTAATGTACTCCAGTCAGAAGTTTATGTTAAATCTATGAATAGATATGATTGAATAGATCGTATTTAATTTTCATTAATACTATTATATAGACACAGATAAAACATATTACAAGACCAATTAAAATTTTTAGATTCTAAGTAATTTCCTTTCTTTTCTAAGTAATTGCTTTAAGCTCGTCACATTAACCTCAGAAAACAAAACACCAGCTAATTTCACATTCACATCAAATGTGTCTGTCAAGGATTTAAATGCCAATCATTAGTTGAAAGCAATTACCTCAAGCAAAAGTACAAAAATCAAGTTGAAAAACTAAATAGAAACGGTACGTGACCTTGTTCCCTAGTGTTCTCCACACCAGACCACAAGTGAACACACCAGAGATGACTCCCACACAGGAGCAAGATAAAGTACCAACGTTTCATAGGGAGGTGACAGTGTACTCGTTTATTTGCTATCATTTTTGTCTAAAAATAAAGAATGTAGCCTGACACGACCCGAAGATCAAATTTGGGAATGAGATTGCATCACTATTTTCAAATTATTTAAAATAACATAGGAACTCCATCACTAAAATAAATGTGGCAGTGACTTTCATGTTTCTGACCAGCAAGCATTTTAGGAATGTATGTATTGCCCTTCACACAGACACAGACACAGACACACACACACACACGACACAAATTTTCAAAAATATTCTTACTACATGCAAAGCTCTCTAATAGTTTCAGTCTATTCTATTAGATTTTAAAATGCTAGTTGTGACCCCCTAAATTGATTTCGTGCTTCACTAATGGTTTGTGACACCTATTTTGAAAATCACCGAACTACAGAAAAAAGGAAAAAAAAAATCAATTAAAACCCCTGGGATAGTGAAATAAGAAGGTATCTCCTATAATCATTCCCCTTTGGGTCACACTTGTGGCCGTTTGGAGAAATTAGAAGACAAAGTGGAGCAGGACAAATTGATTATAAAAAACTGAAACTGTGCTCGAAACCAAACCCACGGTCCCTCGGGAACTGTCCAAGTGTCCCCATCACTACTTATAAACCACAGGAGTCCAGCCTGGGCCGGTGAACGATTTACAACCTCAAGACGGTGTTGCTCGAAGGTCGGCACAGGATCTGCAAAGCCATAAAGGAATGTCACCCTGCCACTCTCGGCCAGGACTGTCAGGCCTGAGCGGGGATCATCCGGGCTGGCGGCCGAGGGCCTTTCCCCCTTTCCCTTTTTGTACTTTAGATTGCTTACATAAACTTACAGGTCAATCGTTAACCATATTAAAACATAGAATAAACGTTCCATGATTTTACTTTGAAAAGGCTCCAAGATGAACTTATTGTCTTATAAAATCTACTCTGGCGCTGCCCAGCAGAAAAATGGTTTGCTTTCAGAAGCAATTCTAGAACCACATCGAGTTTGTTTAAGGGAAAACAACAAAGCGCCAGAAGGCACACCATTCTCAGGAAGGACATTCTTCCACTCGCCCTCGCGGGTTCCTTTTCTTTTGTAAAATACAGAGATTAAGACTGAGATTGGAAGAAAATTTCTGGACTGTTTTAGAAGAATAAAGCAAATGATTTATGAAATTTAAAACACACTGGAATGAGATGCCAGAGATCTGTGTTCTATTTCTAATTCTGCCACTAAAATTAGCTACGTAATCTTAGCAAATAGATTAATCTGTTAACATACACAAAATATTTAGCATAGTGCCTCCAATAACTAGCAGGGGCTAAATAAATGTTCTTGAAAATGTTGGACTTCAAACTCTTGAAATTCTTAAAGCAATATAATACATAATTATGTTTAACTGAACACGTCAACTCTATTTTATGATGTTTCAACTTTATATGCATATAAAGAAAGCACATACTTAGAGCTTTTCAAAAAATATAAGCCCCTAAATGGTGGTGAGTGGAATGAAGTCAGTTTCCCTCGTTCAGAACGAAGCCTTTTGATGTGTACTGAAACAGCTCTTGCTTCATTGCCTGAGCAAGTCTGGCTGAAAATACACTTAATCCAATGTGGCAGAAGATTGCTTCTTACCAAAGGAACAAAACACGAAAACAGACCCCGCTCCTAAACCTAATAGCCATATGACAATCATAAAACCAAATTGGAATAGCAGAGAATACTTAAAAATGCCCTATTATCCATTATTTTTACATGATTTTGAAGCTAAGAGGATTTGTGTATTCAAACTGTAATCAGCTTTGATAAACAGTCAAATGAGAGATCAAAGAAAGTGCATTAGAGTACACATTTCAACTCTCGATGTTGAGTCAACAATCCAATGGACTGAACAGATTTTCCTTTGTATGGCAATCTTAGAAAGCAAACCTTTCCTAAAAGTTGGGGTGCAATTCAGTTTTCTGGGAACACTGAGATACCATTTTCCAACATAATGCTTATATAAACACACCATCAACATTTTGTTGTCAACATTCTTTTAAACACACTTATGATGTCAACTTAGTGACAAATGAAGGATTTGGTTTCTTTAGTGAAACCAAAATGAGGATATAATCTTCCAAACTAAAATAAAACGTAATTAAGTTAGTGAAAATTAAGACATCTTTTAGGAATAAAATAACTCTGTCATTTGTTTAGGAAATACCTACGCTAATCATACGCAATGACCAAAATCTTAGGCCAACTGTGTTTCTCTGTTTTAAGTAAGAACTTTGACAGGCTGTGTGTCATCTGCGTCATATGCACAGCTTTTCAAGTAGAAGCTGAAGGTGACATAGAAATAAGATTATTGTCTCTAAACCATGTAAACATCTTACTGCTAATTATTTTATTCCCTGACCTATCTTTTCAGAAACACAAAAATTATTTTCAGTTAATTTCTAATGCAAAGAGGGCTTTGTGACTAGTTTTGAAAGCCAGCGCTAGTTTTAGAAGCAGTTTCCTACATATTTACAATCTGCTATCAATAAAGTTTATTATAATCAAGCATATGAAATGAGTTATATGAGAAGAGATATAAAAGATTCTAATTTTCTACTTCAAGTAAGATTAATTTTCCCTTTCTTTAAGGCACATAGCTCATTTCTTCCCTGACTTATCAAATGAGGATAGCAGCCTTTTACTCATTCATGATAATAGTAATTACAGGAAAGCTAGAAAGCATTTAAAATAGACAAAGAGGCACAAGGCTTGGTTTGTAGCAATCTTCCAGGTGTTGTCATCCAATCACCTGAGGCTCCCTGGGCCACGGCCCGCTAGGAAGCCCCCAGCACCTTCAAAGAGGCACCTGTGTGACTCCTGACGGACACCACTGCCCAAGGGCCTCCTGGCCTCAGATCTCTGGGAACAATGCTTCTCTCATACCTCACACGAAACAGTCACACTTCCTTGGCAAGGTTTTCAGATCCCACCAGGCTCGGTGTTTGTGGCTAGAACATGAGACTGAGTGTCAGGCAGACCTGGGTCTGATTCAAGATCAGCCACTATGTTGTGTTAGATTTTAATCACTTTGATTTAATAACTTTCTTTCTCATGAAAACAGGGTAATTTCTTTTTCATCAAGATTCCTGATTAAATAATGTGTAAGCCGCCTGCTGCACAGTAATAATCCTCCCGTCCTTCCTGTCCTCTCCACACTACCACGACTATAAAAAAAAGATGGGGATATGTTACTTTCCAAACGCAAAATTTTTCCATTGTAGGAGCACCAAATACCTTCTTCGTAATTCTTCTGTAGATAGAATCCAGATTCAGAATGAGGTTTACAGATTACTACAATAAGACGCCTCCTTATAACAACATAAAGAAATTACAGGCCAAGAAATATCATAGTAGACTACAGACCTTTACAAAATCAAGGAATAATGCTAAAATACATTTAATATCTTTTCTTTCCTTTTATTTCTACTTAATTTGTGTGTGCTGTTGTTTTCATAGAACTCCCAATGCGTATAGTAGAAGCAGAAGCTAACAGTCTCTTAGTCCTTCTTTTGAAGGCACAGCAGTAAATGAAATTGCTGTAGGGAGAAGAGAGTGTCTTTTTTTTGGTGAGGAAGACTGGCCCTGAGCAAACATCCATTGCCAATCTTTCTGTTTTTGCTTGAGGAAGATTGTTGCTGAGGTAAGATCTGTGCCCATCTTCCTCTATTTTGCATCTGGGGTGCCGCCACAGGACAGCCTGATGAGCAGTGTGTAGGGCCACACCTGGGATGCAAACCTGTGAACGCTGGCAGCTGAAGCAGAGTGTGTGAACTTAACCACTATATCACTGGACTGGCCCGAAGACAATGTCTTTTGTAAATTTCAAGAGAAATTACTGAAATTCAACAGATAAAATGATTTTTTTAAAGTCTGTAATGCTCCTCTAAAGCATACTATTTTAACTCCGTACATACTATGGGCAACCACTAATATCTCGATGTTTGAGATGCTCTACCACAAGGACGTTCTGAGACTGAATATACTGAAATTAGAGTTTGAAGTGGAGAAGCGTGAGAACCAAGACGGGGAAATAAAGTGATGGATTCTCTACTTATACTAGAGGAAACGAAAGGGTTATGTGATGTAAGAAAGAAGGCAAAATAAAAAGTGGTTTGTACTGACCAATAACCTCCAGAGAACATCAGTAAGTCACGGGAACAGACCTAAAATCTAAAATTGTAGAAATAAACGGACGTTATGGAAGTTGATTGATCAGTTGCTGTGTTTCAGGGGCACACGGGTCTTAGACGTTAATGAGACTATTGCAACTATTGTAGTGATGGTTCCCTATCGCCCCTCAAATCTCGAAAACTAGAGCTTTGCAACCTGAGGCAGAGGAAGCCTGTGGCTGGAACCACATGAGAAAAGAAACACTGAACCTTTCAGGAGGCAGCCTTCATTTGCTTATCTCGCTAGTTTTTGTTTCCATCTATTTATT